CCGGTGCCAGCTGCGCATGAACCTTTGACCCTCCGCACTAAACCAAAAAAAATTAGATTACAGAGGATTCGATTTGGTTGGCAGGAACGAGTGAAACACCGGGCTTTGTTGTTGCCAGCGATGATGCGGACGAGTGGTCGGCCACCGGCATCCCTAGGGAGCGATTTGATTGGCTGATGGTCAGCCGCAGTGACGTCAGCAGGTGATTTGATTGCCTGTGTTTCAGGAAGGATGAGATCAGCAGCACGGTGCTGATGGACTGACTTATCTCCTTTTTTTTATCAGCTTCTCCTAATTTAATTGATTGCTGATCATTACTGTAGGTCAGTAGAGGGGTATTAATATTGTATATCCATTCTTATTGCCAGGATCAGGATCCAAAATGATCCGAGACTTTATTTTTGTGTGCGTAGTTGTGTGTTTTAGTGTTTTGCAGCGTGTGCATGTAGCAAGCAGCGTCCCTGAGGAGATCTGGTGGAGACTTTTCATCAGTTTAACTCCCCTCTAAAGTTTCACAGTACGAAACCTCCAAAATCACGGCCGACAGCGTATGATGTCTGGGTTTTCTCTGGTTAAGCGTGTGCGCGTGTGTGTGTGTGTGTGTGTGTGTGCACGAGGAGCCCACTGTTTCTCAGGCTGTCGCTGTAATTGCTGTAATGAGACTGAGAGCAGGAGTCTAACAGGGCCTGTCACATGGGGAGAGGCTGACAAAGCCCCTCTGTGTGTGTGTGTGTGTGTGTGTGTGTGTGTGTGTGTGTGTGTCTGTCTGTACAGTAATATTGTGTGTGAATAGGTATATGTGTACGTGGACTACACTGTCTGGGTGTGTGCTTTCCCCTTTCATCTCTTAGACAGGTTCAGTGAACTGTATTTCATCACTCTAAGCTCCTCGCATCAGTCGATGCAGTCACAATCTCTCACTGAGCTGTGCTTTAAGAGCTGCTCAGTTTACTTCTATATCTGTGTTTATATTGGAATAAAAAGTAACTTATTGGCATCGTCTCCAAATACTACTCAAATAGTTGAGCTACTGTAAGTATTTTGCTCTTTTGAGTTGGTCGGCCACCTCCTGTACCTGCATCAAGATCCTTCCTGGATTATGAGTTTATTTAAGGGATAAAGCAACACAGATCTTTATGTTGTAATGCAAAGTGCCTGGTGGCAAATACTCCAAAACTCTCTCCGTAAACGTATCTCTCTAATCCTCTCCACTCTGGAGCTTCTTAGTACTTTTCTTATCAGCTTTCCCTCAAACCGGCTGAAACTGTCATAGCCGATCACTGTGTTGAGCAGTTACTACACAAAGGTTTTCACTTGGCCTCGGGGGCCCCTGGTGTGTGTGTGTGTGTGTGTGTGT